GATGTGCTTACAACCAAGGTTCATGCCCTTGCCTGAAATCGAACCTGGGACCCTTCAGTTATCAGGCTGATACTCTATCCACTGAGCCAAACCGGTTAGGCATCAGTGTGACTTTTTATAGATTATAAAATGGCCTTGATATTAGTATCTGTGATTTCACTATAAAAACCTACAATGATATGTTTCCTGCATATTATGGATATAAAAGTATGATAGAATAGAATCAAAGGAATCTTTGCAAACATAATTTTGCATATAAAGATAATAAGGCTTGGGGAATAGATCAGAATTATGGGACAATTTGAAGGCAAAGCTAAGATTATAGAGATAAATGGGTCTCTGTACTTGTCCTATGTAAGAATACTATGAAGTTTTAAATAATAGAGGCCTGGTGCACTGGAGTGGTGGAGGGGAGAGGGCAGGTGAGGAGAGTTCAGTCTGGCCTGCGCCCTCTCACAGTCTAGGACCCCTAGGAAGATGTCCAACTGCCATGGAGGCAGGAGAGGCTCCCACCACCCCAGCTGCACTGGCCAGCCTGAGCCCGGTTCTGTCTGAACAGCACAGGCCTCACTTTTGCACATTCTCATATGTTACTTTCACCTAGATCCAGAATTAGCTGAAATATTCATATGAAGCCCTCCCTGGAATGATAATCATCTGGGCCCTAATGAAGAAAAGAACCATGGCAGAGAAGAACCAGTTGCAGATTGTGAACATTTTCCTATAAGATCTTCATTGTAGAAGAAGGATGACATAGAAAAAGATAAATAGGATGTAAACCACTGTCCCATCACTTTCAGCCACTTTCAACCATTAATCTTTTAACATATTTCTGTCCTATCTCCTTCTGTAAGCAACAGTTTGAGACAGGCGACTCTGGTCAGTGGCTGGCATCTCTCCAGAGTCAGCACCTTCCTTCTTGCAGCTCGTACAGCTGCCCCTAATGTAGTCTAGCTGTGTGTGCACAGAAAGAAGAGGCAACAGACTTCAGTGAGCACATTAGCCATTAGATTACTCACAGATACCATGATGTCTGGTAGCATTTTTAAGGTATCATTGCAATGCCTTAATGTTTGAGATATTTGTTAATATCTTTCCTCCCTCCCTCCTTCCCCCCCCCCTTTCCTCCTTCCTTCCCTTCCTTCTTTCCTTCCTCCCTTCCTTTCTTCCTTCCTTCCTTCCTTCCTTCCAATAGCTGGTGAAGTCTAATTTATCCTTCAAGATCAAACTAAGAGGGCTTCTGCTCTTTGACAGTTTTCTCCCATCTCAGAACACTGAATTCATACCTGTGTTCAATATTTGCACTTTATTGTAATTGCCTATTTTTCTCTTTTCCTTTTTAATCTCTCTCTCTCTCTCTCTCTCTCTCTCTCTCTCTCTCTCTCTCTCTCTCTCTCTCTCTCTCTCATCTCTATCTCTATCTCTCTCTCTCTCTTAATTAAACTGTGAGTTGTCAGAAGCAGGAATCCTGAATAATTTGACTTTATAATGATAGTGCTTAGCACTTTGCAATTTCTTAGAAAAGGTGTTAAAGGAATTTTAGAGGAGGCCTCTGAAATCTATTTCTCAATAACTCTCATCTGTAGATCATGTAATCTTTTTCACCTTTAGGCATTGCAAAGAACACATAATAGTGATTAATATTGATACTTATAAGACTGTCTTTTTCTTAGAAAAGGCTAGAGGCTTTGTTGATATTTGTGTTGAAGTTCTATTGTTTCTATTTAGCAGTAAACTTCCACTCTGAAAATACCTTTGCTTAACTGTGTCAGTAGGTAAAAATCCAAGTTATTACAGATTAATACAGTTAGAAGAACCTGGAGAGGAAGATAATGGGAACGCTGACTAGCATTGCAGAGTAGCAGAAACACACAAACTCAGCACACCTGGATTCAGTCAGGGCTCACTGGTTTTCAGTGGTGGAACTTCCCACAGGGTTGTTCACTTATCTTCTCTGAGCCTCAATTCTTTCATCCATAAAATGGGACCACAGATCACATGGACTGTTGTAGATTCCATGTGTGTGAAGGTGGGCATCTTGAAAATGGGCACACAATATGAAGAATTATTATTATGCCACAATGAATAGACTGCTGATACTATTCACCCTTCTACTTTTGAAAAAATAAAATGATGCAACTCATCTCCTTCCTGCCCCCTACTACACACATTTTTAAGCACGGTCTATTACTCAGATGCAATGCTAGGAACTACTCATTAGAAATGACAATTATTAATTTTTTAGGACATATTGGGTCCTAAAGCACTACTGAAAGAAATAAATTAAAAGGAGGGGAGTGTCTTTTTATCCCAGTGAGCAAAACTCTAAATGATTACTTATGGGGCTTGAAACCTGAAGAAAGTCCTGGGCTATATCCTCTTTGGTGTGAGAAGCAACTGGAAATGATGAACCCTGAACCTTTTTATCAATATGCAGTCCTTAGATTTAAGTATTATGCATTGGGTGGTGTTGGGGGTGAGGGTGGTCACTGAGAGCTCTATAGCCAAATAACTTTCAGAAACATTGAAAGAGGTTTTCTCTTGAGATCATTCTTGGTAAGAAATACCAGCAACCCAAGATCAGCATTATATGATATTAGAATCTCAAAAACAAAACAAAACAAAACAAAAATACCCCACAAACAAACAAACAAAAAACAGTCGTTCTAAATGTGTTATTTCAGAAACAGTATCACTAGTAAATAGGAAGGAGTTTTTGACAAATAAAATTAATAATATGTTTTTCTTAAAATCTTTGAAATGCTGACAAGGTAAGTACTCTGAAATTGAAGCTGTACTTGAAATACAAGTGCTAAGGGAAAAATCTGAGTTGCTTAGATTTACAGAGACAAATAGCATTCTTGCTGCCTTTAAGGTAAAGGAAAGCAGATATTAGGCTCAAACAATGATGAAATGTGTCTATGCCGTGAGGGTTCACCCTACACCAGGAAGCAAGAATTATCAAGTTTTCTTTAATAGTTGTTGATTTAGATTAGAATAGCCGGCACCATTAATATTAGCTCCTTTAATTCTTACACCAATTGTATTGGACAGGCATTGTTTGCATTGTAGAGGAGGCCCTAAGTTTAACATTATTGTCTATTCAATAAATGAGTGATTCTAAGATGGGATCTTCTCCTGGCTTTATTACAATTGGTCCTACCCTACATTTTTGGGTGTGAATTTTCTTACCTCACAATGAGTAGTTTGAGGTAATGATTCTTTTTTTTCTTTTTTTTAAATATATTTTATTGATTTTTTACAGAGAGGAAGGGAGAGAGATAGAGAGCTAGAAACATCGATGAGAGAAAAACATCGATCAGCTGCCTCTTGCACACCCCTTACTGGGGATGTGCCCACAACCAATGTACATGCCCCTCACCGGAATCGAACCTGACACCTGTCCACAGACTAACGCTTTACCACTGAGCCAAACCGGTTTTGGCTGAGGTAATGATTCTCAGGATGTTGGTAGGTAGCTCTAGTTTTGGTCTCTGTCACTTGCTCTGTGTCATAGTTTTTTTACTGCCTTGTATCTCCAATCCAAATTGTCCAACAGTGAAATAAAACTCCAGGTGTAAGGATAGAGACAAACATTAAAAAAAATTATTGGCATTTTCAGCCTTCTGCATGTCTGACTTTCTATACCTTTTTTAAATCCTAAAAATGGATGATAATTATAGAGAAAAGGCCAAATAGGTAACAATTAACAATTTTACCTATGTTTAAAAGGCATTTCATAGCTTAGATATCACACAAATAATTAATACCCATCTTAGAGTTGTTGCAATAAATGTTGGTAGTAAGAATAAAACATTAGTATGTGGATTTATAACTTATTAGATTTTCACATCAGTGTATCTTTCAGTACAATGAAGATAACTGGTGAATGAGTATGCAAGTTTTGTTAAGCTAATTTTTATAAACTATTTATAACAGGAAAAACTCTTGGTCAACCATTTTAAGAAAGGAAAAACATTCCCGCTCTCATCTCTGTTCAGTAGCCATAGCGGACATCATCATCTAAATCTTCTATAACCATCTTTCTGTTTTTAATACTTGGATTCAAGATGTTGGAGTGTGTATTGGGAATGGTCCAAGTCATCTCATAGCAAAGGAAACTATAATATAATACATTCCCTTTTACTTACACAGCACACAACAATTTTACATCTGGCATTTGGTCTTCCTTTCTCCACTTACTTTGGACTCTTAGTTGTTCACCGGAAGTGTTTTTCACCTGGCTCTTGATTCTGTTATGTGGCTAGAATCCTGGCTCACCCATTGAGTAAAACACCAGCCCAGTGTCAATGATACTGATTTATCTTACGCATAAGATATCTAGCTGATTGTAGTGCTGATAAGAAAAACATTATTCAAACTCCTTGACTAGAACACAAGGCCCTTCACCTTCTGGACACCTATATTCAATAATGTTTTTTTTTATTTTCTATCTCAAACATTATAAATATTTCAGAAATACACAGTGTGAGGAGCTCCTTATGCCACCTTAATCTGAGGAACTTCTTTTAGCTAAATGTGTCCTAGTCTGTCACCACATCTTCTCTGGAATTCTTCTTCTCAGGCTGTATGAGAGGTGACATTTGTACCCCGATGGTTCAAATGCTTTCTACAGTTGCTTTATCTTTCATTTTTGATGTGTCTTTATCTCTCATTTTATTTCACTATAAGCTCCATAAGATGAAGGCTCTATGTATCTATCATTTTGATAAACATACAACTGGTACATAGTGACTCCTAGCAATGGTTGAATGAAGTAGAGTCTGTTGTACACATGTATTTCTAAAGCCTGATAGATGATGCATGTGAATTAAGTGCTGTGTCCAACATCAGACACAAGACTGACAAAACCATATCTAAAACCCAGGTCTCCTAATAGCCATATCCAATACTCTTTTCTTTATAACTCAAACATGACTAAATTTTCTTGGTTGATGTCTAGGTTGCACTTAAAAGACTTTGTGTTTTCTCCTTTACAGAGTGGACAAGCAGGATCAAAGGGGCCTCCCGCTGGTCCACCCTCATTCCGCCCTGAAGATGAACTGGAGCACTTGACCAAGAAGATGCTGTATGACATGGAAAATCCACCTGCCGATGAATACTTTGGTGAGTGGGTCCCAGAGCTGACTTCTGAAGTAAATGTCCTTTCCTATTTTCCTTAATAAGTAAGTAGAAGTATTATCAGCTCAAGTGGTAAAGGAGTTGGTATCCATATGCACAAAACTGAGTTCTGGAATTTGCTTTGTGGAAGACACCCACCATGTGATATTTGTTTGGCTTGTACTAAAATCTCAGGGGTACTTCAGAGTTTCATGAGATATGTTTGATTTAAAACTTAATTTTTGATTATTTGTTAGCTTTTATTATACAGAAATAGGGCTTTTGTATATATTCAGGTGTAAATATTAATATATAAAATGTGTAATTGGGCAGAGTCTGAACTCTGTGCTCCTACTCCTTTCCCTATCCAAGTTTAGAAACGGATGTTCTCTTTAACTTTTCTCTGTCTAAGCCTGTGAATGCTTATGAAAAAATAATCTATCTGTCCATATATTTAATGTGAACTTATGAATTATATGCCAATTATGAGGTGTTATGGACACATAATTTTTCACCCAAGAGGTTGTAATTATTCAGAAGAGAGAAAAAAAGCACAAATAATTACTAACATAGCTATAATTATAAGAGACATGAGAGAGGCTTGTTTCGGCAAATATTATAAAAATTTAAAAGGTCTGTTCATCAGGAATGCTTTATGGAAAAATTGGTGGCACTTGAACCTGGACCCTAAAGCTTGCCTCTCAGGGTTTTTTTTTACAATAAATGACTCCTGCCCAGTCTGTTGGAGATCAGTATTTTTATAAAGTATCAGAAAAATTAGTTACTAAGAAAGTGCAATTTAAAAAAAAAATGAAAGACCCAAGTTTTACCATTATCAGATTTAACAGGGATAAATTACATCATTAAATTGCTGTAACTTTTTTCTAAATACTCACTGTATTTGTCTCATCACAGGGTGACAAACATTCCTTAGTAAGACACCTATCCGTTGACCTCATTTTCAGTAGTGCTGCTTTAAGTACATGTGGAGAAAAGACATTTGGGGGCATTGGGAAGGCACAGAGGTGGGAAATTGCACTATGCATAATATAGGGCTTGTACTTCTTCAAGTTTTTCCAATTTGCATGTCTTCCCATTTGCTTCTTATTGGAGAACATGTATTAAAAGGTAATCAGAAAGCACCGGTTCAAAACCACATAGTAGGTGGCCTGCATTAGGATGTGAAAATCATGACATTTATTTGTAAGCAGAAGGTAGCATAGCTTAGCTAAAAGGGCACATTAGTTAGAACTTAGAATTTAGGTTCTGTCCCTCTCTGACTAAACAATATTGCCATGTTCCTCATCTGTCTGAGCTCCATTATCCACTTTGATAAATTAAGTAGAAAAAGTTTTCTGGCATTTCTTTCAACACTAGTAAGATCATATGGAAACAGCATCAACCCACATAAATATAACATAGCTAAAAGCTAAATATAAATTGATATATATTAACACAAAGGCATGGAAAACAGTAAAAAATAAATAAATAAATAAATAAATAAATAAATAAATAAATAAACAAACACGTCTATACTAGAGGCCCAGCACGTGATTAAGATTGCACAAGGAGACGCCCCACCTCCCACTGTGCGAGGAGGCACCTTGTGAGGTCCAGGACCCATGCCTGACTTGCAGAGTCCCTTAGCCCCCATGCCTGTGTCCACTCCAGGGCTGCCTGAGCCACTGTGATCTCTGTCTCTGTTCCAGGCCTCACCTGTGTGTGCAGCCTCCTCCTGTCCTGTCATGACCCATTATGGCATCGCCACCTAATTTGCATATTATACACACACATATATATGTATATGTGTGTAAGTATACTATATTTTTCTCATTGATGTGAAAGAAGGATTTATATTAAAATAAGATAAACTTTTTTTTTAAAAAAGCAGATTAAAAGTATGTTCTCTTTATTAGAGTATATTAAAAATGAAAAGTAATAATACCAAGTATATATATGCTTCAAATATCATAGCAAAACCTACATAGCAATAAGGAAAAATGTGTTAATAAACATATGTTAAGCACTTTGAGGAACATATAAATTAACTATTATATTTGCCTTCAAGAACTATCCTAGTTATGCTGAAACCAGTTTGGCTTAGTGGATAGAGCATCGGCCTTCGGACTGAACCCAGGTTCTATTCCGGTCAGGGGCATGTACCTTGGTTGCGAGCACATCCCCAGTAGGGGTTGTGCAAGAGGCAGCTGATCGGTGATTCTCTCTCATCGATGTTTCTAACTCTCTATCCCTCTCTCTTCCTCTCCGTTAGAAATCAATAAAATATATTTTTAAAAAAAGAACTATCCTAGTTCTATAACTTACTAGCTATATTTTAAAACTTACTAATCTCTCTAAATGTTTGTTTTTATTTTGCTTTATCTTTAATATGGAAATATTAGTTAGCTTATTATACTGTTATCACATTGAACGAAATATTTATAAGAAAGCACTTAGCTATGTCCTTGTAATGTAAAATATGCTCAATAATCAAAGTTATCCCATAGTTAAAGAAAACAAGATATGCCCCTTAAAATTAATTAATACTTGATTTAAATTTTAAATTTAAAATATATATCACCAATTTCTTAGTAATCATTACCAAATGATCTTTATAAATCATGATAAAAGTGTAGAATGATGATGAACTTTTATTGAATGCTTATGATATGGCAGTACTATGTTATGTATTTTGTCTCAACTCATTTAATCCATATTGAAAAAGTATAACCCTGTAAAGTAAATGCCATTATTATTTTCATACTAGGAAATTGAGATACAGGAATATTAAGTAATCTGCCCATATCAATAATTAGTCAATTTTGTGACTGGATTAGAATCAAAGATCCAGGTCTATACATTTTGTTATTTCTAAAAGATTTTCCCCCAACTTTATTGAGGTGTATTAAGAAACTGTACATGTTTAATGTATGCAATTTAGTGAGTTTGGTTCTATGTATACATTTCCGTTGCCATCACCACAACCCAGATTATGACCATACTGGCACCTCCAAAGATTTAGGATAGATATTTAGAAAGGTTTTATGGAGGAGATCATCTTTGGACAGATGGAAAATAACAGAGGGTATTCTCTTGTAAATAGAATGAAAAAAAAAATTGACTTGAGGCCAGGATTATTCAAGGAAAGTTTGCTTTATGTAGAAAACATACATTAAGTACCTATTAGATGCTAGTTACCCTTCTAGATGTTAGAGACATATGGAAACAGGCAAATAAGACTGTTACTTTAAAAGTGCTTACTAATATAGCCTAAAAGGGATGGGCACAGAGTTAGGTTGTTTAATCATAACTCAAGATAGAAAGAGACTAGTTAAAGTTCAAGGTTCTTTGAGAATTCAGAATGAAGAAAGGACATCCTAAGGCAAGAATGGAAAAGTTTTTATGGAGCAGTAAGCCTTTGAATCAAGTTTTTAAAATTATGCTAATAGAGATTTGCAAGTAGGTAACATTATAGAAATAATGTCATTTCTGATTATGGGAATTTTTTACATGAAGGGTTTCAAACCAGTGAAGAGAATGACCTATGTTGAAAGGAATAAATATTGGGAAATAAGATTGGAAAAATAGGTTCAGAGCAACACTGAGAGGACTTTTATTATTGTTGTTTTTATAATATAATTTTTTAATTATAGTTGACAGTCAATATTATTTAATATTAGTTTTAGGTGTATATAATAGTAGTTAGACAATTATATAATTTACAAAGTTATCCCCTATAATTGTAACACCTGGCACCCTACATAGTTATTATAATATTATAGACTATATTCCCTATGCTGTACTTTATATCCTTGTGACTATTTTGTATCCACCAATTTGTACTTTATAATCACTTTACTTTTTCATCTATCCTACAACCTCCCTCCTATCTAGAAACCCTAAATTTTTTCACTATATTTATGAGTCTATTTCTGTTTTGTTTGTTTATTTTTCTTTAAATTCTACATTTAAGTAAAATTATATGGTATTTGTCTTGTGCTTTCTGACTTATTTCACTTAGCATAATACCATTTATGTTTATCCATGTTCCCATAAATGGTAAGCTTTCATACTTTTTATGGCCAAGTAATATTGCATTTTATATATGTACTATGTCTTCTTTGTCTACTTGTCTATTGATGGGCACTTGGGTTGTTTCCATAGCTTGTCTATTGTAAATAATGTGCAATGAACATCCTGTAAGGGAGTGTATGTTCTTTCAAATTAGCATTGTGGATTTCCTTGGATATATACTCAGAATTAGAATTGCTGTGTCATAAAGTAGTTCTGTTCATTTAAAAAAAAAAACACTTTTTTTTCCAAAACTTCCATACTGAAGAGGAGTTTTAATGCCTAAGTAAAGGCTAGTAATTTTATCTTACATTAAAAAAAAACCACAAACAAAAAAAACAAAACTGCACATTGAGGTCAAATGCTGTGGGAACTGTTCTGTCAATAGTGGTTAAGAGTGTGGGTTCCAAAGCCAGAATGTCTTGATTTGAATGTCAGCTCTCTCTCTTAAGAGCAGAAAGCAAAGGATAAGTTAATGGAACTACCATTTATTGTTCCTGAGAAATTTTGCATGCCTATAGATGTGTGGGCTGTTAGAGACATTTGGATGCAAAAATAAGCTCTGCTCTCACTGGGTTCATGAGTTCCTGAGAAGGGCAGAGAGAGGCAAGAATGTCAGTGCAGATTATCAGCACTGTGTTGGGTCTGCTTGGCCTATGTGAGAGTAGACAAAGTCCATAAGTCTGCCTGGAGATGAGAGAAGGAGGGCTACATATCAGTGTGTCTGTAGGAGAGCCTGGCACAAGAGAGATTGATAAATCCTCTCTTTCCCTCTTCCTGAATTTTACCTTATTTCCATTCTGGGTTAGAAATAACAATGTCAAATACCACCCTAAAAGAATTAACCCACATAATCCCATCACCTACTTTCTTTTTTACCATCTTGCCTATTTAATGGTGAAATTTTCATTGACACTAAAGTTGATTTGCAGTCT